AATTAGTGTTTGTAAGAGTTTGGACAAAAGTTCCAGCCACAATCTGGAACTCGCCGTTGGTGAGATCTAAGTGGGCGAACGAGTTAGAAGCAATTGTATGATGGATAAGAACAGAAACACCAGCTTCGGGAATGATTGAAGAGGATAATTGGGAACCTGAAGATGACTGGTGTCTAAAGAAAAAAGTTGTTTCGGAATAAAATAAAATAAGAGGGGAATGAACTGAAGAAATTGATATTCAGAATGTGTATTGTAGTTTAAGCCGCGATTGTTAGTTAATGCGACTGGTGAGCGAGAGTGCTCTTGAGTCGTGATCCTGTTTGTGTAGGAGAGATAACCGGCCACGTGGTCCTGGAATGCGCTAACCAGTCCCGATGGCTAGGTGATGGCACCAACCCGGACGATAGCAGAACCATCTACCATCGTGACGATTGCGCGATTGAGGTTTACGGAATCCTAATACATCGATGGGGACGTCACAGTGTAGAGTCTTGAAATAAAACTCCTGGATATTTTCATTGTTCTTCATTCGATAGTAGAATTTCCGTCTTGTTGGTTCACTCAGATTTTATTTTTACGGTCAACCGAATAGAATTTAAGAAAAAAACGCGATATATGCACTTGTTTGCCATGACCTGAACTCATTACCATATTAACTTCTTCCAATTTAATGATCATCATTCTACACGTCTGCCAGTTGGGTTTACGAATCCTGGGTGTGACATTTAAATGCCACAAAGACTCGTTGAAATTTTGACCCTCAGGCTGTGCAATACTCCTTGAAGGATTGTCCCACCGGTTCGCATCCCATAGGAACACAGACACAAAAGATGACATGACCGGTTTGGTCATGTCTCCCGGTAATTTTCTTCGTTTCACAATCGATGCCAGGTGCATACGCCCGAGAAGCAGAGCCGATAACTTTGTTTTTTTCGACCGTCTTCTTGAACTTCAGACGAAATCAGTCATTATGCCCTGTGGGCCTATTGTTGTCACCTAAGAGGTTGGCTTTCTAGCTATTTTCTTTCTTGACCTAACAGTAACTAAATTAATACTTATATGATGAATTCGTCGTGTAAATGAGACGTGAACTGAAAGGCTGGGAAGCATTGGGCATCTGTTTCGACCTGGTTGGGTCTCATCAGCAGTGCGAATTCATCAACCCAACCGGGGATCGAACTCGGGACCTCACAGATAGAACGCAGGCCCACTGCTCAACACACGCCTTATTTACACAACGAATTCATCATCTAAACAAATCAAATCCTCCATTACGCTCATACAACAAACTAATACTTCTCTGAGTATTGTTTATTTTCTGGTTCTGTTCTCCAGAGACCTTTTTTACTTCGAAAAACAAGTTCTTTGTAAGAATTCATTTCGATCTGTTGTTTTGACGCAACTATAATAACTGTACTCTTTATTGCCTGACCCCCATCACGTTTCCCGGTACTTCAGATGACCGCCCCATTGGTCACCATGGAGAACACAATCATGTTAGCCGCTTGTCGTGAGGACGAAGATCTACCGCAAAATCCGGAATTACCAGCAGATCTGTTTACAGCCTGTCTGACCACTCCGATTCGGATGGCTTTACGCTGGCATTGGTTGCGTCATCAGGAGCATTTTCCCGGTAAGCTTTTCTGTATGATACCGTCATAACTTGGTTGACCGCTTTTCGGTACACGTTTTCCTGTCTGCTGTTTTCACGCACATACCAGCCAAACCATACCGGTTTCTTGCACTATTTTTCTCAAATATTTTCCACCCAAATCACACTAACCGAAACGTGTATGTGGCTTAGGCTCCCGGTGAATAGGGTAAATACCTCCGTCCATCAATTTACATTCATGTGTAAGTTATTTCCGAAATCTGGAAACGGTCGGACCAACGTTGGTCGAGTTTAATCCCACGTTTCCAGCCAACTTTTCCGTTCTTGTCTTTTTTGTGCAACATTGATGTAAATCTTCTCGTACAAAGGTTTTCATAAAAGCATATGGAATGTCAATCATGTCGAGCGTTTTGTGTTGTGTTTTTTGTATTGTCTTAACCAGCTTCAAATACCCGAATGGATCTCCTAAAGCATACCCCCCCCCCCCG